CCCGACTATGTGCTATAAATACCTTCATAACAAACAATACATACAAGAACTTGGTCTACAATAGACATCTTGGCTAGTGTGAAAGTATTTACCTTCCCCACCTACTTAAGAAACCTTTTAGCCACTGGTTAGCCATGGCATTTAATAGGCAGTTCGAGTTCTTTCATCCCATCCTTATATCTTACTTATCCCTTCGAGTACACTATCATAAACATGTGTGTCAATCTCTTTTAACTCATTACTTACCATGTTCAACATATTTGTGTTAGAAAAAATGGTTTTAAACAAGATTATTTGAGCAACTTGAGGCTAAAATAAAAGTAGGACCCACACCTCAAAATTGGTAGGACCAAGTTTTAAAGACGTTCTCCTTCACAAGGAGACGAACATCATATATTTATTTGTCTAAATTATTAAATATTGAATGATAAATTATGTCTCAAAGTGACCCATTTGAAGTGATGAAATAAACTAAGATAGGTTTAGTGGAATAAAACTTGTCTCATATTGGAAGAAAATCAACACTTTGGTGAGTTAATATACTTCTAGTTGGCTTCATGGGTTAGGCCTCAAGAGGTACTACACTTTTGTGAGCAGAGAGAACTCCTACACTACCTTGGCATTTACACATATGCACGCCACCCCCTCGACCCGACCCAACTGGGCTAGGCTTGGGCCAAAAAGATATAATCTTTTTGGATAAACTTTATTTTGGGTGGTGCGGGCTATGTGTCGAACCAAACAGATCCAAATGCGGATCGTATTCCAACTAAAATTTAAACATTCAACTGAATTTTAAATTTATACCCGTTAAATTGATTTTAGCACCAAAATCTGTTCTGCAGAGGTTCCTTTTATGCTGTTCAATACAGATGTGTCTTTTCATTTTGTTTCTATTCAGATTGAGGGTGTGTCTCTTCGATCCAAATAGAGGCGTCTTGTGACTCATCAAGTGATTTGAACAGGTATGAAGGGTCCACAAATAGATTGTCTCATTGCCATTTTAATTCATCCCAATTCTAGATTCCAACTTCAGAATTTCTTCTTCTTCTCTCTCTCTCTCTCTCTTCAAATTGTTGCTTTATTCTTTTGGTTTGGTTCAAGTATAAACGCAAGTTGTGTTCGCTAGAGTCTTGAATATTGAAACGTTGCTTCTTCAAGAATGTAAAATCCATTATATCTTGAAAAACAGTTGCTCATCAACCTTGAGCACCGAGAGAGAGCAAATCTGTCTTAAGGAGATTGTGTTTAACAAGGCTCGAATTGAATATTTTGATTTTCTTATTTTATTGTTCGTCTAGATCTGCGTCATTGTATGTACACTGGTTTTGTTTACTATACATTCTGTTTAGATTAGTTTGTATGTAACAGTATAAAAACTACTTTAGATTACTTATATGTATAGCAGTATATAGATATTATTTGAATTATGTTTATTACATAAGTTAGACTTCAAACATGTCTAATATAATCAAATTATATACATATTTTTTTATAATAATTTATAATTTTGAAAAATTTTTGAGCATGACCTAGGTTCCCCAAGCCCATGTGTTGATCCGCTACTACCCTCTTTTCGGATTGAAAACACCATCATAGTGGGACTTGATCCAACCTTCAATATGTTGAACTATAAACTTGATTGTTGCATTTGTAAGAATGCAAAAAATGATTGGTCATTGTTACAACTAATAGAAGCTTTAGATATTTTGTAATTCAATTTTGTTGTAGAAATTTCCTAACTAATGAAGAAAGTCGGAAGGTTAAAAGTTGTAGTAATGAAATAGGATTTGAAAGAAGAAACCACTCGAGTAGTATGAAAATTAGGTGATGCTTTGTCATTTTGTTTGAGAAAGTTGAGATTCAAGTTCAACACAAAAATTGTGTATATTTTTCCGGATAAGAATGTATTTATCAAAAAATTTTATTAAATGTGTTTGTCAAATTCATGTAAATTATTGAATCAGTGGATCTAATTGAAATAAATTTATAAGACCCACTAATCTAATAGTCCGTAATAATTTAATGATCATAGCATAAGATTCATGGAATATGAGAACACAGCCATTTTCACCAAGGACAACTCTGGTTAGTGGACAACATGTAAAGTAGACATTTTCTATTTTTGTTTTTTTTTTATCAAGTCGGCAAGACCAAATCAACATTCTTTAATTTTTGGATTTGCAATAAAAAAGAAAAAAAGTCAGGAATGCCATCACAATCAGGAGAATAGACTATACTCTTCATCAAATAAGCATAGGCTACAGAGCGGGAAATAGGTAAAAACAAAATCATGTCTTGATAGTGGCTTTTACTATTAACTAGATGTGGGGTTTGAGTGTCTCGTACAAGTTGGATTGATTCGCTGATCGTACAAGTGTAAGTTACAATTTATAAAAGGCGTGATTAATCTTAAAATATTGAAATTAATCATAAAAATTATAATTTTTAAAGGTCAACTTACAACTCAAAAACAAAATGTTACAATTTTTTTAAAGAAATTCATGATCGATCATGGAGAATTTTCTCAAGTAATTGTAATTTTACGTTTAAAAAATTCTAAGAATTAAAAAAATTGAAGATAGAAGGCATCTTAACTAATAAGGTAAGCCTATGGTACGAAAAGACGTATTGTATTAACCATTTCAAATTGAAAAAGTTATCATTTGTTTTTTTTTTATGACTAACAAAAGTAGAGATTTATTCACTAATATTAGGATCGATTCTATATAATATTATTTTGAATGCCATCACAACAGGAGAAGAGATGACACTCCTTATTAAATTAGCATTGCCAACAGGAGAGGAAATAGATAGGAAATTTGACTGACAGTGGCTTTTGCTTGTTAGGCTAGAAAGTGGGGCTTGTGTGTTTTATGCCCAGCATTGCCTACCCTAGACAAATGGATTTGGTCAGTAATTTTTCCATATTAAAAACCACCAATTGATCACATCGTAATTTGTTGTTTGATCAAATGAAAATAGAAAAAGATTAGATTATAAGAGTAATAGTACCAACTCATGTGATGCACATAATTTAAATTTTCCTATGTTAAAATATTATTCTATAAATCTTTTCTCTATCCACTGCACTTTGAAGAGGAAGATCCCCGGACTTGAACCCGAGACTTATTGTTGGTCGTTAAATGTTTTTGTTGGAAAAAAAAAAAAAACCCTTCTAGAATTATGTTTAGGTGTTGTGTTTCTGGTTCCAAAAGGCTTCATGAAGAAGAAGGAATTGAATAGAGTCACATGCAATGTCCTTTTTTGTCAGGCTATAGAACATTATGCATTGTTCAGTTCTTCATTTAGAGACTTCCGTACAAGTTTTTATTAAATTAGCATTGGCTACAAGAAAGGAAATAGATGGAAACTTGCCTTGACAATGCCTTTTACTTGTTAGCTAGAAGTGGGGATTGTGTGTCTTGCGTTCAGATTGGGTTTCTTATGTGAGAAGTACTGCATACGACTTATAAAAAAAATTGACCTAATAATCTAATAATGACACGGCCCACATGGTCCAACAGTATTATTATAACAGTTAGATTTTTTTCATTAAGGTCTTATTACTTATCACACAATCATGTCGACAAATTAATTTAATTTATTAGGTTATAATAATATTACTCTTTTGCAAAAAGCACTTATTACTTACCCTAGATAAATAGATTCGGTAAGCGATTTTTCGATATTAAAAATCGTCAATTAAAATAAAATCGTCAAAAATAATGCCGAACGACATCAACTGTAATGCAGAACAACCTACGTTATGTTTTTCTTCCCGTTGTTATGTCAAATGTCTTTCACTTTCGACAGCTATTTCAAAGTTTAGGACCACAATTCCTTGTTACAAGTGGTTGATCAAGGTGTCAATACGCGTTATCTATATTAAAATATCTTAGAAATGTCTGGACCACTTTGTCCGTGTTGAAAGTTGAACACTAGATTTGTCGGAACATTCAAATCACGGTAAAATATCTTAGAAATGTCTGGACCACTTTGTCCGTGTTGAAAGTTGAACACTAGATTTGTCGGAACATTCAAATCACGGTAAGGCAAATTAGTGCTTGATTTTATTGAGAAAATTTATCGTGGCTAAATACTTTCAAATGACACCATTTTTATTTTTATTTTTAACAAAAGGCTTGTAATTAATTTTTTGTTCTGTTTGGATTATATATACTATGCTTACCTATATTTGGTATTTTGTCTTTAAGGAAATTTTGAAGTATGTAATGTAGCATAATCAATAATTTAAATGTTTGTCTTACTTTTGTAGATTGTGAGAAAAAAAAATTAGGCTAAAAAGCATAAATGACCCTGAACTTTAGTCTTCGTTTTAAATTGCACCCTAAACTTTTAATTTTTTTTAATGTACCCCTAAACTATGTAAATCGTTTTAATCGGGTCCTTCTATTAGATTCTAATGTTAAATGAGGATGAAACCCTAACATTGATAGCTAGTGGAGGGCATTTTAGTCCATTCAAGTAATATGTATAATTGGGTTGAAGAAATGGTGCCAAAATCTCCCTCCCATTCTCCTCAGTATATTACACCCATCACAACAGAGAACAAGTGGCTCTGTTCAATCCCCTAGACTGTTGTTGTGTCCCATATTAGAAACCTAAATGAGGTCCCTATAACATTGCTCTAAACTTAAATTTGTTCCAAGTCATAAGTATAACCTAAACACAAGTGAATTCTGGTACAATCTATGTGTCAGCACCAGGCTGTTTTTCAAATTTTTTTAATGTGTCTAATTGTGCCCTTTCATTATTAGTAGTTTAGAATTTGTTTACTTCTGTTTTCCTTTTATTAATTAATTTATAATTGTATTAGGATAATTTGTGCCTGAAAGTACGGTGCAGTGTGACTAATTTTGAGAGAAATATTAGTAGTAGTCGTTGGATAAGTCTATTTGAGACTGTCGAATAGATTTATTGAAGTCTACCCTATTTTATATTATAAACTCCTAGATTTTCCACTAGACCCGGGAGGGAGCTCACATGTGAAGTAGTCAAAAGTTTCAGCTATAAAAGGCCACTTTCACCGATACAAAATCATTGCTCACCCAAACTTTTTCCATTTTGTTTGGCCTTTTGTGCTCATCAATGGCTAGTAAAAGCACTAATCATGATGACCCTTTCTCAATTTCATCTTCTACTCCTCGCTGGAAGCATGACGTCTTCCTAAGTTTTAGAGGTGAAGACACACGTAACAACTTCGTGGATCATCTCTATACTGCTTTGGTTCAAGCTGGTATTTGCACCTTCAGGGATGAAGATGAATTACCAAGAGGGAAAGAAATTTCAGCAAAACTACTGAATGTAATTCAAGAATCAATGATTTCAATTGTCATATTCTCTAAGAACTTTGCGTTCTCTACATGGTGCCTGAATGAGCTTGTGGAGATCCTGAAATGTAGGAAAACAAGAGGACAATTAGTTCTTCCTGTGTTTTACAATATTGATCCGTCTGATGTACGTAAGCAAAATGGGAGCTTGGCAGATGCTTTTGCTGTACATGGGGAGCAATTTGTGACCGAAATGGGGAGAGTGGAGAGATGGAGAACTGCCCTTGCTGAAGCTGCAAATTTATCTGGATGGGTTTTGCAAAATATTGCAAATGGGTAATCCATGCTAGCCTTTTTAGTGCACAAGTTTTCTCTATTTGCAGTAAGGTTTGCTGATTTCTTTGTGTGTGTGTTGGGGGGGAGGGAGATTGGGAAAACAAATAAAGATTGGGGTCTAAGTAATATTATTCTGACCTATAGTAATTGAATTTAATAGTCTGAGCTAATGATTTACATCATTTTTTATATAAAAAGGCAAGAAACTGGTCATGGGTGACGTAGCACGAGTAGAGGTAGCAAATGGGTGGGTTGAATTGGTTACGGGCTAATTGGATTGGATCAAAATAAATTCAATATATTTTCAACTCACGTATTAAATTGGTTATATCAGGTTGGATTTATAACGTGTTAAATTAAACTCATTAACTCATAAAATACTTAAAACTCGTAATAGACACACACTAATATATCAAAACATGCACACTCGCACACACACACACACTATTACACTAAAATACACACACACTAGTACACCAAAATGCACACACATACTAGTATACCAAAATACACACTATTACACCAAAATAGACACAAACACACACATACTATTACACCAAAATACACACACACACACACTATTACATCAAAATACAAATAAACACACCAAAACGCAAATACACACACACGCACACTAAAATAAGTACTATTATCCATTTGTTATCCATCTTAATCCGCTTAATTAAAATAAGTACTATTATCCAACTTATTTAAAACTCGCATTAATTAATATATGTATCTTATCCATTTATTCATGGGCGGATTGGGCAAGTTAATGGGTAATAGGTTAAGATTTCCAACTCTAAGCATGAGCAATATGGGAGCTTGTAGCACCGGTCACGGAGGTTGGAAGTGGAGGGGGCACTATAAGGAGAGAGAGAGAGTCTATCTTATAATTGTTTATGTCATTAATTAAATGTTTACTACTTTTTTTCCGTGCTTTTATTTTTACATTATGCCATTAGACTCAACAATGCACTTTTTTATATTATCCTTTTAACAACTGCAATCACTTGCCTTTCCAAAGAAAATCACTTACTAACTGTTTTATTGATTAGAGGTGATTAACGAGTTTTTCATTTTTAAAACACAAATTTCCTATTTGTTTGAAGAAAACTCTGCATGTATCACAAACAAATGCCTCTATATAACGAAAATAGAGATATCAATATAGCTAATTGCAATTTCCATCTCTGATGAACAACTAACATTTTGTATAATTGTCAGCTGTCATACCTTTGGCAAGTACCAGCTAGATGTTTAGATACTTGAAAGTTGTTTCAAACTAGTTGATGCCTTTATGGAAGAGGATTTAGTTGGAAGTAATGGCTCGAGGCCTATAATTCCTTCTAAATTCTGTTCTAAAGAGCATGCATCTATTTTTTGTACATTTTTGTTATAGTAGGTTAAGCCTAATGTAGTTTTATGGTTCTAATTAATACAAAATGTTCAACTTCTGGAAAGAAAAAAAAATATTTTGTATAATTGTCAAGGCTAGTGAAAAGAAGTCCTTCTATAGGTTTGTGAAATTTTTGTTATTTCATGAATTTTTATGATTAACTACATCTCTTGCGATATATTCTCTTTTTGACCTTACGTTTCTTTATATCATAGAATGGACAATGCACTGTGTTTCATTATATCATAGTATGGACAAAGCACTCGGATCATATCCGTTATATATATTATATATCAACTTTTTTATCATTCAATACACTAAAATATTTCATCCAAAATATCGCTTAAGCAAATATAAGCAACATGAAAAAAAAATATTAGTGTATTGAATGATAAAAAAATATATACAACATTCAATACACTAACAGTTGTTGTGGTTTATTTTGATCCACTTCCTTTTGTAAGAATTTTATTTCAAGATATATTGTTTCCATGTAGTTATTTTTCATTTTAACTATGATAAATTTTCATTTCTTTTGGACAAAATATTACAGGCATGAATCAAAGTTTATCCAAAAAATTGTTGAGGAGGTTTTATGCAAAGTGAGCCACACATATCTAAACCTCACCATGCATCCGATTGGATTAGATTCTCGTGTTAAGGACATAAGGTTGTTACTAACCAATGGATCAAATGACATCCAAATGATTGGGATCTTTGGCATGGGAGGAATTGGCAAAACGACAATTGCCAAAGTTGTCTATAATCAAGTTTTTCAGCAGTTTGAATGTTCTTGTTTTATGGGGAATGTGAGTGAAATTTCAAAACAACTCAATGGTCTAGTTCATTTACAGGAGCAACTTCTTTCCGAAATTTTTATGAAAAAGGGTCCTAGTATTGGCAGCATTGATAGGGGAATTAGCTGGATTAAAAAAAGACTTTGTTCTAAAAGAATACTTATTGTTCTTGATGATGTTGATCAAATTAGCCAATTAAATTCATTAGCAGGGAGCCGTGATTGGTTTGGGTTGGGTAGTAGAATTATTATCACAACTAGAGATGAGCATTTGCTAAATAAAGTCCAAGTAGATGTGAAATATGAAGCGAAGGAATTGAACTACAGTGAATCTCTACAACTTTTCAGTTGGCATGCCTTCAGACAAGCCATACCATTAGAAGATTATTTGGAGCTTTCAAATGGCATAATAAACTATGCCCAAGGGCTTCCATTAGCTCTTGAAGTGTTGGGATCTTATTTGTTTGGAAGAACCATGCTAGAATGGATAAGTGCATTTGAGAAATTAAAACACATTCCTCACAATCAAATTCAGAAAAAACTCAGAATAAGCTTTGATGCACTAGAGGATGATCAAGTAAAGGACATATTCCTTGACATTGCTTGCTTTTTCATCGGAATGGATAAAGATTATGTCATTTATATATTGAATGGTTGTGGTTTCTTCTCGGAAATTGGAATTAGTGTCCTAATAAGTAGATGTTTGCTAAAAATTACTGAACAAAATCAATTGAGCATGCATGATTTACTACGAGAGATGGGGCGAAAAATTATTTGTGAAGAATCACCTAAAGAGCTTGGAAAGCGTAGCAGACTGTGGTTTCAGGAAGATGTATGTGACATGCTACAAACAGACAAGGTAATAAGAAACTACTTTCTTTCAATTGTAAAACTTTATAGCTTGGAATATAACTCTTGTTTAGTACATATATTTTATTTTTGTTTCTATCTGTGTGTGTGGTTGATGCCTATTTGTAGTTAGTTACTTACCAAAAACCCATTTTCCTTTATAAAATTTAGGGCACAAATGAAATTGAAGGTATTGTGTTGGATTTGCCGCTCTTAAAGGATATATATTTTAGGACTGAATCATTTGCAAGGATGCAGAAATTAAGACTACTTCAGATCAATAATGTGCATCTCACCGGAAAGTTTGAACATCTATCTAGAGAGTTAAGATGGCTATGTTGGCATTATTGTCCTCTGAAGAATTTACCATCCAATTTTCAACTCAAAAATCTTGTTGCTTTAGATTTGCAATATAGCAACATCAAGCAACTCTGGCCTGATAGCAAGGTAAACAAATTTGTTATACCCTTGATTATCTTCAATTATACCCTTGATTATCTTCAAATAAATGGAAACCCTTATCTTGATATTTTTTCTTTGATTTATCAGTTTGTGAAAAATCTAAGAGTCCTAAATCTTAGTCATTGTAAATTCCTGACAAGAACCCCGAACTTCACCGGGTTACCAAGGATGGAGATATTGTTGCTTGAAAGTTGTTTATCTTTGTTGGAGATTCACCATTCAATTGGAGTTCTGGATAGACTTACTTCCTTGAGTTTAAAAGATTGCGGGAACCTTACGGATCTTCCAAGCAGCATTTGCAATCTGATATCACTTCAACATCTAAATCTTACTGATTGCTCAAATCTGAAAAAATTGCCCAAGCTGTTGGGGAATATGCACTGTCTCAGGGAACTTCATGCTGATGGAACTGCTATCAAACAATTACCGTTTTCTTGTAGGTTTTTGAAGAACCTTACCATCTTATCTTTGGGAAGATGTAATAATAACTTACCATCCAAATCTTGGCTCCCGCTTATTATGTCTTGGGTATCACCAAGAAGAAATCATGATTTCACCGGATTTCTCCCACCTTCTATTTCGGGTTTATGTTCCTTACGAAAACTAATTCTCAGGCACTGCAATTTGAATGAAGCCTCTATTCCCATTGATATCGGAAGTTTATCTGCACTTCAACTTCTAGATTTGGGGAGCAATAATTTTCATAGCCTACCATCCAGCCTTTGTCAACTATCCAAGCTAGATAGCCTCTGGTTGGATGATTGCAAGAATCTTCGATCAATCAATGAACTTCCTCCCAATCTAAGGGTACTACAGGCTGATGCTTGCACATCACTTGAAAAACTACCAAATTTGTCAAACTACCATAGATTGGAAAAATTGTTTCTAGCTAATTGCAATAGATTTGCGGATATTCAGGACTCAAGGAACCTTGATTCTATGCGATTCATTCATTGGGAACTGTCTAACATTTTGATCAATGCTATCAAGGATAGTGAGCTCGAGGTCTTTTCTCTCTCTATTTATCTCTCTCTCTCTCTCTCTCTCTCTCTCTCTCATCATCATCACCATTTTCATGTGACAGGGACATTGTAAGGATGATTATTACAGCATCTTCATTCCAGTTGGGAAGATTCCTGAGTGGTATATCCATCAAAGAATGGGTTCTTCAATATCTTTCAATATGCCATTTCATGTGGGGAACAAATTAATAGCATTGACTACTTGGGCTGTTTGTGCTGCCAAAGAAGGTGTAGTAACCACTGCTCTTTTTCATGTTCTCTATAACAAAACCAATGGTGTTGAACAGATTCTTAGGCCTACAGTCCGCAACAATATTCCAGTAACCCAGACAGAGCATTCGTTGTGGAGCATTATACCAGCACTTGAATTTTTCCCGATAAAAGGTGGAGAAAGAATGGAGCTCTCTATCAAAATTAGTCCATTTGTAGACGTTAAGAAGTGTGGTGTTCATTTTTTGTACAAACCAGATATTCGAGAAAGTCAGCAGGGACAGTTATCATCTGCCAAAACAATTGTACAGGATTATGTACATCCAAAGAGAAGTCGTGATGTTGATCTAAAGGAATCGGGCAACAACTTGGAAGAGAAAGATGGTAAAAGGTTGAGGATTGAGCCAGATTCAACATAAATTTGAATACAAAGCACGGTTACTTGAAATTGTGTTTAAGTGGATGTATGTATACTAATATGGACGTTGGTATTTATCAATAATGCTATGTTATATGTTTTACTTAGTTTTTGGTGGTTTAAATGATTGTTATAGAATTTTCATTTAATGTCCATTTATCGAAAGGTACAATACATCTGCACTTTTTTTAGTAAGTAAACAACACGACAAGAAAAAGTGAGCTTTTGAGTTGGAATTTTTTTTTTTTTTTTTGCTTCGACATAGTCTGTCAAAGCAAAAAAATCAATATTTGCATTGGCAAGAGGCCCAAAGCAAAAAAGACAATAAATTTTTTTAGTGTTGCGCCGAAACAAAAACTTTACTTCAATACGGTGTTGTTTTGATGTAATTAAATCATTTTGTCCCGAGTTGGAACAAATTACTATAATTCGTCCCCGCCTACGGATTAATCGACATTTTTCACAAATTTTATGAACAGAAGATGTATTTGAGTTTAAAACAATGTCATTTTATTAGGTACATAGAAAATAAGTGTGGGAAATCAGTTACATTAAAATGACGTAGTATTATGTTAATTGTCACAAAATGACGTTGTTTGGAACCCTAAAAAACCAACCTTCCCATTAAAATGTCGTAGTTTTAGGTGCACTACATCCAAATGGTGGGTTAATGTGAGAATTAACTTAAGCGTTTACCCATTTAGACAAATTTACAATTAGTTTTGATTATTAAACATCTATCTAATAAGACATCTACCAATTTGAAACTTCTATCAATATGTTTCGCCCCTCCCCCCCCCAAAAAAAAAAAAAAAAATTCTATAACATCCAATGTTTTAAAACCCAGCATGGTCTGGCGGGTTTACCTAGTGACCGAATGTCTAAATTGGGTCGGCTCGCCTATTGGATCGTTTATGCACCAAAACCAGAGTAAACCCAATGAACCGAAAAAAAGCCGATAAAACTGTCAAACCGAAGGAGTTCACTCAAACCGACCAAGTGTTTTAATTTACTATAAAAACTAAATTTTGGGCGCTTTTGGGCATTTTGCCTTGCCCTAAATTATTTCCCCTAGCCCCTCGTTCTTCGTGACAGTGCACCACTCGACAATTGGACGATGAAAGCTTCAGCCAGTGTGAGTCTCTCTCTCTCTCTAGTCTTTATAATAGTGTGCACCACGAGTACGAAAGGGATTTAAGCCAACAAGTAAGGGACTCGATCGAAGACTCAAAGGGGGAGGAAATTTCAATTTTGATGGAGAAAGCTGCAATTTCAAAAAACTGCTTCACCGTCACTGCTTCAGAGCTCCATCGACAATGACTACCAGGCACAATAATAGGTACATACTAACTCATACTCTCTCTCTCTCTCTCTCTCGGTGTGTTTTTGTCTACTCTCTCTCTCTTTGTCAATCTATGACTATATCTGATTTTTTTATTTTTATTTTGTATACATTGAATCTTTGATAATTGATAATGCTAAATTTTATACATTAAAATGAAGCTTTGATGAGATGTTGAAATTTTTTTGATAATGCTATCACTTTTTTTTATTTTGAAAATCCAAAGTTGATTGTGATTGTGATTGTGATGGTGATGAAACTACTGAAAAGCCTAGAATCCCAGCAACAGAGATTCAAGAGAAGAGAAAGAAGGGGCAGATAGATTGTTCTTATCAAATGCTTATAAAACACTAAACATGATGGTTTCATTTTCTATTACATTCAGGTCGGATAGATTAGTTGCGGATGGAGAATATTGTCATCGTCTATACACATGATTCTAGTGTCATTTAATCCAAAAACTATGGGGAAATAATAAACTTTACAAATGGAATATGTTTGATAATTTTTTCTCTACTTTGCTTTATATGTTTGATGCTATTTTCATAATTATTGTGATTTTTTAGCCTATTTATAATTATTTATAATTATTTTTTATTATATTACCTGTCCAACCAATGACTCACCGGTTGAATCAATGACCCACTAAATCCGATCCCTTTGTCAGGTTAATGTCTGGGCTGAATTTTAAAACTATGATCACATCTCTTTCACCTCACCTGTCAGTCTTCTTTCAGAGAATCAAAGGCCTCTTTACCCCATCTTTTTTTTCCCCACCTATTTCACTCCTCTCTCTCTCTCTCACACACACACACTCACATAATTTTGGTTATACACATACGTCCATAAAACATGATGAGCATAACAGTTTAACTGAAGGGGGTGGCTCCCTTTATTACACATGTTATGACATTAAATAGATCCACGTGAGGATGACAACACAAGGCGCGTGAGAAAGACATCTGTTACTTAGTCAATAGACCTAGCCGAACTGATCAATGAGTTCGGCAAGCAATGAAAGAGCTCAGCTCTTATTGAGCCATGTTGGTCAACGTGTTAAGTGAGCAATGAGAGAGTGTGGTTCTTATAGAGACTGAGCTGATTGAACAGTAAATGGAAAGATAAGGATACACCTTTAACTCAGGCATTCTGGCTAAACAAATCAACAAAATTATAGGCCTGACATGAGGAATTGTTTGAGAGACATCAGCAACATCCCAAACTAAATCGCTTAATTGAGGGAAAATGTGTCACCTTGAAACGAAAATCATGGAAACCCTAAACTAAACAAGAGTCTATAAAATGTACAAGGAGTCATTGTGAAAGGTATGCTAAACTCTCTTTGTCAATTGACATTTTAATCAGTTCCATTACTGACTTAAGCATCTGAGTGCTTTCGATTGAAGCACTTTGATCTTGGGCAGTTTGCTCGTTTTGCAGGAGGAAAAGACTGGGAGATCAAATCCAACAACACTCTTTTTTCCAAAAATACCAAATTTTATTCCGTTGAGGGGTAATTTTACTTTTTGTCTCTTAAATTTTTTGGCGCCGTTTGTGGGAAAATTTTCATCAATCGAAACGAAAAGCCAATGTCAAGATTGAGAAGTCTCATTGGATCACCTGTAGGCAAATTTGCCTTGGATAATTCTGATCGTGTATCGCTTCCATCTGATAGCAACATTAGGTTGCATGACAGAAGCCCATCTAAACCCCATGAGGATGACGAGGTATCTTCAGCAAGTTTCAAACCATCAAGGAATCAAAACCAGCAAATTGTAGATCATGGTGAATCCCTCCGTGCTGAGGGGGAGAACCACTCTTTGGCAAAATTGGTCCAATCCCTGCAGGACAGGCTCGATGCACATGACAAATTATTTAAGAAATCCTACGCCAAGGAAAAGGACCTGATAACGAAGAATGAAGAATTGAAAGCCACGTTAAAGGAGATGACTAGGTACGAGAAGCGTGTAAGGGAAAACCAACGAGAAAGTCCTGAAAGGAAAGACAACAGAACCAAAATTGCTAATGAAGATAAGTATCGACAGAAAAGACCCCAAGAGGAGAACTCATGGAAGCAGTTCATCACTGAGGAACTCAACAATCGTTTGAAAAGACCAGAACAAAGATCGGCTAGGTACCTAGCCAGAAGAGCAACAGGAGAATACGGAGATGGCTTGGAGTCGTCTCCTTTCACTTTCACTTTGTGGATCGAAAGGGGGTGAATTATGAGTAATTCACTATCCTAAACTTCAAGCTTTACAATGGAGAGACCGACCCATCCTCCCACATCAAACATTACAGACAGCTAATGACCATTCATTGCAGAAATGAACCACTATTCTGCACAATCTTCCCTAGCAGCCTCAAGAAGTTGACCATGAAATGGTTCGACAACTTGCCTAAGGGGTCGATAGATGGATGGTCACAATTAGCTAAGCTATTCACAACACAATTCATTACGAGCAGCAAACAGCCCAGGGATGTCGAGGCTCTACTGACATTGAAGAAACAAAATAATTAGACTTTGTGAGAATGCACGCATCGCTATTGCGAGACAATGAATGAGGTAAAAGCTTGCAATCCTGAAATTGCAGTAGCATCCTTCAAGATCGGGTTGCCAAAGGAGAACCCATTGTACCAATCTCTTAATAGAAGGCCTGTCATAGACCTGGAAAAGCTGATGGGGAGAATCTAGAAGTACGCTAAAGTCGATGATGACTTATCCAGAAAGTGGGTAAGGAACATCAAAGCAGAAGGCAGTTCGGCCGTGACAAGCAGATCGAACCGATCAAGGAGGGAGAAAGGAAGAATGAAAAAGAAGGATTTCCCCAGAAATCTCCCTTTATTGGGGTAAATACACTATTCAAAGAGCCAATATATAAAATATTGACTCAAATTAAGGAAAAGTCATTTTTCAAGTGGCCCAATAAGCTAGCAGGGGATCCTTCAAAAAGGAACCCTAATTTCAGGTGCCCATATCATCGGGACATAGGTCACATGACCGAAAATTTTCGATCCTTGAAGCAACATTTAGAGGAATTGGTCCAGGCTGGGCATCTCGCTGAGTTCATCGAGGATGGTGCAAGAACCGATAGGGGAAGGACTAAGCCAAAAGGAGACCAGACCATGACAACAGGGGTAATAGATGTTATCCATGCTGCAATGAATTCGTAGATATCGGCGAATAATACTGCTAGGGCATATATTCATAAAGCTGCAAAAGAAAGAGAAGTCTATCAGCTACGATTGATTAGCACAAAAACATTGCATATTTCATATGCTAATTATTCCACTTTCACTTGTTGTGGGGATTAAATTATTGTAATTGCACTACTTGAGCTATTAACGAAGATATTTGGTGAGTGTAGATAAAAGATGTCAAATGATGCTTCTTAAGGCTTTCTCAAATAAGTTGAGGTGATTGAGTATGAAAGAGTGGCTAGAGGAAAGCTAAGGAGTTAGAGAAACCAGAAAACCAGTCAAAATGCAGAAACAGTGCCGATATGGTGTGGCATCTGTAACAGACAGTACCGGTATGATTTTTCCTCTGGAGTTCAGGGTATCGGTACACAGTACCAGTACTGTTTGTTGAATCTCCCCCATTTCTGTAGCCATGCTCTGCTGCTTTGAGGGTCCCACCAATAGGTCTCCCTTACTCCTTTGACACGCCCACAACACTGTTCATCCCTTTTCACACCTCTACAGACTTTGGGAGCCATGATAATCAATGAGGAGAGAGAAGAGAAGAAAAGTTGGTTGTGCAGACAAGGTCTGCACTCCCCTGTCATTCCCATTGCTCTTGCAGCCCT